TCAGGATTCCTCCCACCTTGCCCAGAGCCAGGTTTTGCCCGGTCTCACACGGCGGGGAGCCTGCGCTGACCCAAATCCAGGGACGCGGCTGGGTGGCAAAGCCTGGTCCAGCACGGCTTGGCTGGGAGCAGCATCCAGGGGGGGACAGAGTCCGGCGGGGACACTTCCCCGGGCGGTGCTGGATGGGTTTGAGGGGATTTTACACTCGCAGCATCATCTCCTGAGCTACCTGATCCCTCCCGAGCTACCCGATCCCTGCGGAGCCGGGGACAGCGAGCGGAGCTGCGGGGCGGGGATGCGGGGAGCGGCGGAGCCAGCAGCGGGCTACTCACCCTGGCTTTGTCCTTGCATCCAGAGGAATTAAAGCCCTTGGAGAGGAGGTCTCATTGTTCAAGCTGCGCTTAAGGAAGGCAGCTGCTTTCTTTATATCTCAAGATTCACTAAAGTTCAGGAAGAGAGAGAGAGAGAGAGGGAGAAAGAGAGGGGACGGCGAAGGGGAGGGACTGAGCGCAGGGCCCAGAGGCCGTATAGAATGACAATGGAAGGAAATGCTTTATCAAACCTAGAAAGCCAACCCTGCCCTGGGAACACAGAGGGAGAAAAAAAAAAAAAGGAAAAACTTGCAGAAGAAAAGCGAGTTCGGCTGCCCCGAGTCCCTCCCTTAGAGCCGAGCCCTCCCCCCAGCCCCTCACTCCCAAACACAATGCGAACCCCGGTGGAAGTCGTCAGGACTTTTTTTTTCATTAAACAGAAGTTTCAGTTCTTTTTTTTTTTTTTTTTAAATAATAAATCCGACAACCAAACCCTGCCCGGGAATGGGAATGTGACGCTCTTCCCCCTCCCCCGGCTCCAGCCCGTCCAAGTTTCTATGAGTCAAACGTTTGCAATGTGTTACCGAAATGTTACCAAGCTGGAATGCAGCATCCAGAGGGTTCAGCTCATAAAACTTTTGTTTGTTGGCCGGGAGAAAGTGTCACCGGCACAGAATTGGGTTTTTTCCTCTCCTTCCTTTTGTTTTTTCCCAGCTCGCAGAGGGTTAAGGGCTTGTGCAGAGCTGACACCCGATGACGGTGGCATTAACCCAGCGCTCCCGGTCCCAGCGGGAAGGGAAATTGCTCTGCTTGGTGAGAAACGAAGGGAAAAGGGGCAGTCTGAGAGAGCAGGTGGGAAATGAGAGCCAGAGAGAAATAAATCCGTACACACACAAAATTCCGGAATGGTTTGGGTTGAAAGGGGCCTTGAAGCTGATCTTGTTCCACCCTTAACAGCAGGGACACCTTAAATCAGCCTTAAATCACATTAAATCAGGCAGATCCAAGCCCCATCCCAGGGCACAGCCAGGGACAGAGCTCAGCTCCTGGAGCACAAGTTCCCAGATGTGAGCTTTGGGATTTTGGGGTCAGAAAAGCGTTCTTTCCTCATCTGATGGTCCTGAGATGGGAACTTCCCCCCAAGACAGCGACATCCTGGGCCCAACTTCATCCAGCAGCGCCTGCTCTGGATCTGCAGGAATGCTGAGGGATGGGGACACAGCATCATCTTCTGGATCTGCCAGGAGCCAGGGCCACAGCTCAGCAGCTCTGGGCTTTGCTCCCACGCTGGGAGCACAACCTGGAAGAGCTCGTGAGGATGAGGAGTGCAAGAAGGAAAGCAGGAGAGTGAGGATGTCCTGCAAGCCTGAGTCTTGTCAGGAGGTGGCTCCTTCCACCTGGAATTCCACCTCCAAAACCTTTCCGAGGGTGTTGCCTTCACCTTGCTGAAGGACCTTGAGGGTTCAGCTCCAGGAGGAGACAGTGATGCTCTTCCTGCCTCACCCCCACCCTGTCCAACAGCAGCAGTTGGCCTCGTGTGGGACTGGCTTCAGGTTTTGCCTCTGTTGGAGGGAAGGGAAATCTCCAGCAGCCAGCAGGATCCTCCCGGGAGGATCCTCCACCTCTTCCGCTGAGGCTGCCCTGCTTTGTGCAGAGAGCACAGAAACTCTCCCAGGAGAGGAGCTGGGCTCCCTGCCCTGCTCCTGGATTGGAGAATCACACTCAACCTGTCCTGGAGATTTCCAGCCCAAGCATTAATTATCCTTTCTGATGGGAAAAATGGCAGTGGAAAGGAAGGACCGTGGTCATCCTTCTCCCACCTCTAAAAGCCCAGTGACACCAGCCCTGCAGAGGTCCAACAGGTGAAAAAACTTCTTCATGGCATTTTTATGGCACTGTTATCAGATAAAAGAACCTGATACTCTGAGACAGGAGAAAAAAACAACAACAAAAAAAAGGTAAAATAAAGATCAGAGGGAAAGATGTGAGGGGAAAGGCAACGATTGCTGAAGGAGGGAGCTTGGCCACCAGCCAGGCAGGACTGAGTGCCCAGGACAGGGTCACTCCTGATCCTGTAATGAGCTACAAACTCTTGCCTAGTTGGAGCTTTGCATCATTTGCATGTGAGGTGTAAGGACAGGCAGGAACTGCCAAAAGGAGCTGCTCAAAGGCCAGGAGCAGATAAGAGTTTAACAAAGAGATGTTTCCAGACCTGAGGAAGTGATCCTGGCTAATTGAGATGACTGAACAAGGTCTCCCAGGAGGAAAAAAAGAGGGTGAAAGATGAGAAATCTTTGTGTTTCAAAGGTGAAGAGAGCAGGAAAGCTCACCTGGGAAGGTGGGAGATGTCCCTGCCTGTGGCAGGGGTGGGACTGGATGGGCCTTCAGGTCCCTTCCAAACCCCTGTGATGAGCAGGGTCCTGTTCAAATGCTGGAAAACCCAGGCTGCTCTTTCTGTCACCAACCAGGCCAGAGCAGGCCCCAGATGGTGTTTAGGGCATAAAAAGGCAGAAGGATTTTGGAAAACCTTTGGGTAACACTTTGAGCTTTGCTGAAAACCCCAATGCCCGCACCTCCTCCAGAACCTCCTCCCTTCCAGTCCAAGTACAAGGACCGAGTTGTGCTGCTGGCTCCCAGGGTCCTGAGCCCACCCAGACCCTTCCCACCTGCCCTGATGTGCTGCCAAGAGCTCCCAGCAGCCACAATCCTGCTCCCACATCCCCTGAGATCCCCTCCCTGCCCGAGGAGAAGGGAAGTGCCAGAAGCACCCTCAGACACAAAGCAGAGCAGCCGTGGCTGAGAGGCTGCAGGAGCAGCAGCGTGGGCAGCAGATGCCCGAGGCAGGGAAGGGGAGCTGCCTGCAGCCACATCTCTCCATAGAAGGCAGGGAAGGAGCAGGTTTGTTTCTGCAGGAGGAGAAGAGTTATGGCTGCGAGAAACGGCGGCTAAAAATACCCCGAGGAGCCGGGAGGTGACTTGGGAGGGAGCACGTCACAGGTGGCCCATGGCTGGGGCAAAGGTGGCAGTGCCACACGTGTGGCACCCTCACAGCCACTGCAGGGGACGTTCAGAGCAGCCAAGGGGCAGAATTGGGGTGAGCACAGCCCTGCCTTGTGCCCGTGTTTGAGGCTCTGAACTCAGCAGCCTGGCTCAGCCTCTTGCCTGGGAATTAGGACACGATTTGAGCCCCAGAAATGCCCTGCAGGTGCTTCACCTCCAGACTGAATCCTAAAGCAACATTAGGATTGTGCAGGGAACGGAGATATTGACCCCCAGGGGGACTCTCAGGGTGCCCCTGAGCTCGGGCTCAGCTGTCCCCAGTCTCTGTCTGTGTGACAAACACCAAGAGTGTTTTGGATATGAAATGTCCGTGCCCCTCGCACCTCTGAGCCCAGAGATCTTCCCAGTGGGATGCACTTGTTGACTGGGAGCAACCCCAACACAGATTCCTGGTGGGATGTTCCCACTCAGCCCCAGAGGGGAGCACAGCCAGGTTAAACTCACCTGTTCTCCCAGCTCTGAGCTTCCAAGGATGGAGAAGGCATCACCAACATCCAGCGTCGCTCCACATCACGCCAGCACCGCCCTGGACACCTCACCCACCGGCAAATCTGCTTGAACCATTTCCCATCTCGAGTTTCAGCTGGAGAAAAGGCATTTAAAAATCATTTCTCCTCTTTTGAAGGGGCTGGTCCCTGCGGACGACTCTGCAGTGAGGGCGTGAGGAGGATCTCGCCTGGCCTGGGTCCCAGTAAATCACAGTTCAGAGACAGCTCAACTCCATTTTATGATTATTAACCCCAGCCCTGCTCATTTGTTTGGCTTGTCTGAGGCTATATATAGTGATGGGTGCAGGCATGGCCAGGGGGGAATTGTGTGCAGCTGTTCAACACAGCCCCCCACCTTCCCAAAAAATCGTTTAGGGAAAAAAAAAAATAAATAAAAAGCTAACAAAACAGGAAGAATGGCTGGGAAATGAGAAGCAGCTGTGAAGAGGAGGGATGAGGTGTCATACAGGGAGGATTGACTTCAAACCTTGCAGGAAATGTATGAGAAATTTCCCGGCCGCTTTGGTAATCCATCATCTCCCCCACACCGTGTCCCGTGGTGGCTCTTGGCTCCTGCCACGCCTGTGAGTGCCAGGGCCAGGAGCATCTCAGGCTGGACTCAGCAGGAACATCCACAAAAGTGGCTGTTTGCTCTGGCATTGCCATCAACAAGGTCCTGCTGTGCCTTTGTGACAGACCCAAATCACCACAGATGGATGAAATGGCACCAGCAGGCAGGTGCTGAACCAAGGGAGCTCCAGGGCTGGATCTGGGAGTTTCAATAATGGAAAGATTCAAACACTGGTGGTGAAACACTCTGAACATTCTCATGTTCTAAAGGAGTGCAGGACGGGACCAGGATGGAAAAATAGAGCTGGAGAAACATGGAGGTGCCTTGCTGAGATCAGTGTCCTGTTCCTGCCCTCTCCAGGCACAGATCCTGGCACAGAGCAGCAGGAGAGGCTCTTCCTCCTCATCGTGGTTCATTTTGGAGCTGTCAGAGATGGGTAAACCAGGCAAGGTGATGGGCAAGGAGTGCGCTTGTCCCTGTCCGTGGCAGGGACACCGAACGAGCAGAGCTTGAAGTCCCCTCCAACCCAAACCATTCTGGGATTCTGTGATTTATTCCACGTTCCTGGAGCAGCTCAGAGCTGGAAGGGGAGGTGAGGGAGGGAGTGTGACTTCCTCTGAAGCCCTGGTACTCGGCACAGTGGCACTGGCAGGGGCTGGCCCCCAGCTCTTGGCTCTCCACCAGTTCTCCTGGTGGCTCTAACGGCAGCGCCGACACCTGAGCCGCTGCTCGGGCAGGTGCTGCAGCAGTTTAACGTTCGGTCTGGGGGCAAACCCGGGGAGGGAGGCAGTGCCAGTGCCCAGCTCATGCCCTGCTCTGGGCAGGGATACCAGCCAGCCAGGAAAACCCCAGAGCTGACCTGGAAACCATTCACAGGTGGGACCTGGGCTCCCTACCCCAGAGCCTGCACCCTTGCTCGTAGCTTCCTGTTTGCCCGGTGGCTTTGGGGTGAGAAGGGCTGGGTTTGTTTTGGTGCAGCACAGGCTGCTCCCAGCGAGGCACAGCGAGCTGGCTTCCCCAGGGCTGCGGTTTCGGCAGCTGCTGGCCCCGGGCTCTGCCGCAGTCAGGTGCTCAGAACCGCACGGTGCCAGCAGGAGCGGAGAGGAGCCGACATCAAGGGGCTCACCTGCAAAGGAAGGGGCTCCCAACCGAAGCAGCGCTGGCGTGGTCGGCTTGTGGCCACCCAGCCCTCCCTGCCAGCACCAAACTCGGGCCCAAGCTTGGTTCTGCACCTGCTGAAGATCCAGAGGCTCCTCCCAGGTCCTCGTTTGCTTCTCAGCCAAACGTGAGCAGAGGTCTGGGATGGGAATGGGAGAGCAGATTCCTGCTGCAAAAGGTGTCTCAGGCTCACCAGGATTTTTACTCTTCCAGGGTGACAGGAACTGTCAGTCTCCTCCATCTGTGGGTCCTGGGGAAAGAGCGCTGAAGTCACAGAATCCTGGAATCCCTGAGCTGGAAAAGCTCTGCAGGATCATTGAGTCCAACCTGTGCTCAAATCCTCACCTTGTCACCCAGCCCAGAGCACCGAGTGCCACGTCCCATCCTTCCTTGGATCCAGGGATGGGCACTCCAAACCTCCCTGGGCAGCCCCTTCTAATGCCTGACCACCTTTTCCATGGAGAAATTCATCCTCAGAGTGCAGGCAGAGCTCAGCAAGGCTGTGCCTCCTGCCCTCCTGTGGGTCTCTAAGCCCAGAAGATTTTCCTAAAGGGAGAGGAGAGCTGGGACCGCCCTTGAGAAACTCTGGCTCTGTGCAAACACATTTGAAACCCAGAACTTCTTTTCCATCCCAAGTTTGCAGCAGCCTGTGGGGATTTATCGCCTTGTTTTGCTGCTCCTTCTCAATCCCACGTGCAGGCAGGAGAGGGAGAATGTGGGGAGAGAATCTGATTCACTGTGCAAATCCCCACTTGGGAGAAGGAGTTTGATTTACCAAGGCCAGAGGTAGTAAAGAGCTTGGACAGGAATTTGCATTAAACCTTTGACACACAAGACATTTCCCTTTCAGCCAAGACAAACAAAGGAAGGAAGTGTCTGGGACTTTTAAAGCGACCTAGTGGAGACAGGTAAGGGCAGATAAGGGCTGAAGGAAGAGTGGGCTGGGTGAGGGAAATATCCAGTTTTACAGATTTGTTGGAATCCTGAGTGCTCTGCAAATCAGGCTGAGGGGAGGTGAAGCTACATGGGGAAGGGCCTTTTGCAACGGGAGAAAGAGGCTGAACGTCCCCAAAGTGCTGAAGCACGGCCTTTCTGTTCTTTTCCAGAGCTTCTGAGAGTTCTCTGTGCCTGAGGCTGGGTTTTGAGGCTCATCAGCTCTCCAGCAGAGCCTCCTGCCAGACCCAGACCCATCCCCATGATTTATCAGCATCATCCTCCAAGGGCAACAACCAGAATCCGTTCCCTAAGTGTTGAAGGCAGGAGTTTGTAATGGGAATAAAGGAGCTGGAGCTGTTCCTGTGAAAGGGAGAACACCACTGTGTGATGGAGAGATTCAAACAAGCCCACAGGATAAAAAAGCTCCTCTTTGATGCTGCTCTCTGTCCCCACACCCCTTGGAGGGGGAACACGAGGGATTCTCCTGTCCCCAGGGCTGGGAAAGGGAGCAGCAGGGTCCCTCCTGCAGGGCAGCAGTCAGGAGGAGACCTGGCTCCCCTCTGCCTGACTCTGCAAGCAATGATTTTCCTGGTGCAACATCCCTGATCCCTCATCCCTGTACAACAGGATTGCCACAACCTCGTCTCAGCGGACAGATTTAAAATGCCAGGATTAACCTTGCCTGCACAGGGTTAATTTCCCTCTCAGGGTTTCAGTTTCTCCCTGGAGTCATCTGTTGGGTGACTCCACAGGTCCCCTGCCTAAATCCCTCCGGGAACATTTTGCTCTTTGACCTCAAATCTTTCCCTTCTCCACTAAATTGCTCCTAAATTGTTTCTCTTTAACCCTTTATTCCTCACTCAAGACACAACACAGCAAGATTCAGCCACAGCACGAGGAGGCCCCGTGGGATCCTCGGAAGGGATGGAGAGAGAACTCTGGATGAAACTCCATGGCCAGAAGGAGCAGGGAGGTCCTCAGTGCTGTCCCACAGAGTCACTGACCCCTCTCCTTGGCCTTATCTCGCGGGGTGTTTTGCGTTCTGAGTCATTAAACAAACACAGGGACTGCTCTCCCTGGCCAGGACTCCCAGGGCCTGGAGCAAGGCTTGGATGAGGTTCCTCCACACGCCGAGTGTGAGGCCATAAAAACAAAGCTGCTGCTGCTTTCTGGGTTATTTATAAAGCAAACTAGACAAATAAACCTTTCCTACCCAGAACCGTCAAGGTTCTGAATCCACAGCTCTCCTTTCCTACGGGCACCTCGCTTGTGACTCATTCCCGAGCTCGGGGGCTGCCAGGGGATGAGCTGGGAACGAGGAGCTGCTCCCAGCGAGGAAGAGGCAGAGGCAGCCGAAGGCTCCCTGCAAGGGTTGGGCACTCTGCACCCTCCTGCCTTCCCCCCGAGCCCAGAAAAGCCATCTGTGAGACAATCGAATCCTTGCAAATCCCAGGGAATTGGCTGGAGCACCATCTGGAGGCAGATCCTGGAAGGTGTGGACGCCTTTCCCGGGATGAGGACGTGGGTGTCCCTCTGTCACCTCTGCTGGGGTGACACAGCCACCACCCGGGAGCTGAGGAATTCCCATCCCACCAGGACACGGCAGGAGCTGGGATTCATCACATCCTTGTCCTCTTCTGTCTCTCTTGGACCAAGTCTCCTCCTGGATATTCTGCCCAGCTGGCAGCTGCTTTGGCAGGTGGCCCCAAACTGAGGATTTTCCACACTCAGTCTCTGTCCTGTGTCCCTGGACCCTTGGATCACATTTATTTTCCTCCAATCTGTGCATTTACCAGCCTGGTGTAACTCTTTGCCTGTGTTTCTCTGCCCTCCATTAGTTCCTGTTGCTTGAGCACAGATGGATCTGCCTGAAATCAGGGAATACTTCTCCAGGAGTCCTTGGTTTGTTACTGCTGGCCTTGATTTGTTATTGATTTTTCCAAGATTTTCTCCCAAGGATCAGTCTGGTTAAAAGTATTTTGTGCTGGGTTTGACCACAACTTTCTTATCCCGCTCCATCTTTCCGATAACGCCCGTGCAGCGCCGGGTGCCGTTTCCCTCTGCTCTCTGGAAGTGGAAATGATTCGAATTTTGAATTCTGCTGATGCTGAGAAGAGCTGTGATTTCCAAGAAGCAATGCTGTGCCTGCCCTGACACGTTTCACATCTCAGCACTGGGAGAGCCACGCTCTGCAGCCCTCAGCGGAGAGCCCGGAATTGTTTGGGGTTTTTTTTGCAGGGATTTGTAACCTGATCATTCCTGTTGTTCACAAAGACAACTCGATTTTTCAATATGTGATCCACTTTCTCCACGGCTGACCGAGGCTCCTTGCACAGTGAGCTGGCTCTTTGTTGCTGATTCCTGAGGAATTCTCACCAAACAGGGGCTTGGAAAACATTTACCTGCAGCTGCAGCTTTGGGATGCCCACCCTGAGCAGCTCAGGGAATGTGTTTAAAGCTGCTGCACCTCTGGGTGTTGTTTTTCCTCTTCATGTCCTACATCCACAGCATTCAACACTTCCTTCCCCTTCAACCTCTTGAGGCTTTTCTCAAAGCTGCAACCCCAGGGGCTGCTTGAGCAGAGAACCAGGATCTGCTTATCTGGAGCTCGAGGGAAATTCTGCTTGGCTGCTGTGCTCCGGATGAAACGATGGAATGATGAAACGCCGGCGCGGCAGAGCCTGGGAGCTGCTCCCCAGGAACAGGGGAAGACTGGGAAAACAATCAGGGGCTCTCCTTTCACGGGGTCAAAGCCAGCCCCAGGCCATGGGACTCATCCAAGGCCCTCAGAGCAAGATTTTAGGATTTTGGTGCTTCAGAGAGAAGCAGTCGAAGGAGCCGATAAACATTTATGTGGGGAGAAACATCTCGGGACTGAAACATCAAATAAAACCCCACGAAATGAAATACGATCACAAGGGCTGGATGAAGCCATTAGAAAGTCTGGGCAGGTTTAAGAGCTCACTTGTGTGGAAAAGGGGGAGTTTGGTATTTTCAAGTGTTTCTACATCACTCATGGCATTCCCCAGGGCCTGGAGCCTGCTCTTGCTGCTAAAAATAAACCACTCAGGAAGGCTCCGACAGCCTTCTCAGAGCTTCAGGTGCTCTGAGCTGGAAAAGAGGAGAAAAAGCCACAAGGAAAGAATGGATGAGGCTGTTAGATGTGCCTGGGTGAGAAATGGCCACCTCCAGCTCTGCTTGACAGAGTGAGCAGGGAGCTGTCGTCTCATGGGGGGGAAATTCTAGCTTAGAGAAAACAACTCACCTCTGTCCCTTCATTTCCTGCAAGCTGATGGAGGAACACTCAGAATTCGAGAGAGAGAGAGTTTTGTTTTCTCTTTCTGGAAGACACTGCATGCTTTTATTCTCCCCTTTCTTTGTGCTTGTGTTTAGATAAAAAGTTAGGACACAAAGGCTTTGCTGGCTTGGTGCCAAGCTAACACTCAAGAAAACAAACCTCAACCTCCAAGGCCGAGAGGTTCAGTGGGTTGTTAAAGCCAGTCCTGCTTGCACAGGAAATCACATCATGTAATCTCTTGTTTGGGACTTTGGCAAAGGATAAAATCCTTCTCAGAAGGGAGAGCTGCCATTTCGGAGAGGAAAGGCCCAAGAGAAACACAGCATTTGAGGGAGCAGGGATTTTTCAGGATCTGTCTGCAGAAACACCCAGGCTGGGAGAGCAATTATTTATTTCAAGGCAATTAAAATGATCTTCCTCTCCAAGCTATCTACAGAAGCCTCCATCGACAGAGCTGAGAAGGAAACATTCTCCTGCCCAATCCAGGACCTGTTTCACCACTCCTGATCCAATTCTTTAACCTCTCAAAAACACACTTCACTTCTACCCTTCTGTTCTGCAAAGAAACCATGGAAAATTGTCCTCTGTGCAGGGCTAGTCGCAGTCTTGGATACGCTCTGGAGTGATTTTATGCAGAGTTTCTTTCTCTTTCTCATGGGCCATGTGGAACAGTATCAAAAGCCATAAAACTTTATGTATTTACAGCCTCTTTGGGGAGCGCAGCGCTCAGAACATCACTGCAGATGTAAATTAGCTCAATTATCTTTGCTTGGGATGGTTGGATCTTGCCCAATTACCGTTGCAGTTTCTCATTCTCTTTGGTGCTGACAAACAACACGTTTAAGTCCTTGTTCCACTGTTTTCCCAGATGCTAACACCACATAATTCTCTCTGATCTTCAGCCTCTGTTTTAAGAGAAACCTTTGGCATTTTTCCTTGACCATTTTCTACCCTCTCTAGGTTAAAGTTCCCTTCTTGGCCTTCTGGCACCTGCTGAGTGAATTTAATCTTACCCAAATCACCTGAAAGTGATTTTAGAGATTAATTTTAGTGCATCTCTACACTGTTTTTTCCTTACTACACTGAGATTTCTCTCCTCTGTCAATTATAATCCTCATCTGATCCGTCACCCTTTGAAGTTTTGACACATTTCAGCCTTCTTGGCATTACCCTCCATCAGCTTCTTGTCTGGAGAACGACTGAGAGCCACAGATTCCTTCCACAGACAGAAACTCCTCTGTTAATTGCCAGTGAGAACTGCTGCAATCTTATCAAAATCTGAACACCACAATTTTTCATTACTTTTATGCCCAGATAGCAGAGCCACGTGCCTTTGGAGCAGCTGCTGGAATCAGAGGATCTGATTTCCCCTCGTGCTCTGGCTTTTATTAGTTAACAACACTAAAAATCCCGTGGATTCTCTCGTACCTGGTGGGCCTGGTCACCTCCTCATGGATTCATTTCTGGGGGAAACAACAGCCACTCTCTCTGTGCCTGGAAAATCACTGCAAAACTAACACAAACAAAATGCTGACACCCTCAGGTGGTGTCTGACTTCAGGGACAGGTGCTGCTCCAAGGGGAGCTGTAGGAGCCAATTCCAGCGTTTCACACCTGAATTGTTCAGGTTGGAAAAGCCCTCTGAGACCATCCTGTGCCTGATCCCCACCTTGTCACCCACAGCAGAGCACTGAATGCCACATCCAGGCCTTCCCTGGACATCCCCAGGAGCCCAGCCCCTTCCCATGCCTGTCCTCCCTTTCCACAAAGAAATTCTTCCTGAATTTTCACCGTTTTTCTTTGAACTTTCCTTTTTCAATTCCCTGAACTTTCACTGCCTGGGCTGCTCGCTCTCAGCTGGGGTGAACCCTCCAGCCCCTCACAGGGCAGGAGCTGGGAAAAAAGGAGGAATTAAGAACTCCCAACATCCCAAACTCTCCCAGCACCCACAACCAGGCTGTTGCAGCTCTCTCCCTGCCCCAGATGAGCCCCCGGTGCTCTGGAGCTTCCCAGGCTGGCTGAGCAGCAAACACTCCGGGCTTATCACTCCATCAGAGCAGTTGGAAGACAGTTGAGTGTCTCTCGGGGTGCTGATAGCAGGAAAGGCTTTGCTCTGGGAGATAAGCTGCCCTCCCTGAGCAGCCAGGGGAGGCCGTTGGTATCTCAGTGTCTTCCAGGCCCTGCAGACACACCCTGGCTACGTGGGCATGGTGAGGAGCTGGGGACAGTTAACTGAAGCCTCGCTATCATCTCGCTCTGCTCCCTGGAATCGTTCCTGTCGTGCTGATCAAGCCTCTGCAGTGACCTCATTGCCTCACCCAGCTGTAAACAGGCAAAGCCTGGTGTTTTGGAGATGGAATAATTCAGGAGAGAGGTGTTTTGGGAAGGTATCTCAGCCCAGGGTTTTGAAATGCACACCAGCTCCATTTGCTGCTTGAGCAGCTGCCCAGATCTCCCTGCAGGTTTCAGGAGAGAAAAGCATCAGATGAGTGCTCCTGGCCAGTCTGGGGGGAGCTGGGAGTGTCTGGAGTGCAGCTATTCCCTGCCAGCCCCAGCCAGAGCTCCCTGTCACCCCCAGCAGCAGATCCAGGCTCTGGTGGCACCCCACACTCAGGTGTGAGCGAGGCAGAAGGTCCAGGCCCCCTTCATCTGGAGGAATCAGCAGATGCAAGAGCCACGATGGGAGTGAGGAAGAAGCAGGGCGTGAACAGAGGCTGCACATCCAAAGCATTTGCAAACAAGGAGGGTAAATATTGTGCTGAGACAATACTGGCCTCAGTTTCTGTCTATATTACATAAAAAAATATTTCGTTTTTCGTTTTAAACGCTGCCCAGTCCTCCCCCCTTGGGCTGAGCTCAGCTGTGAGAAGGATGAACACCCTCTCTAAGGTCCTGCTCTGCTTCCCCTCCTTGTTTTGACCCGTGGCAAACCACCACTTTCCCAAATATCGATGTTTTCATCCAAATAACGGGGAGGGGGTTGGAATATTGTTAAAAAATAGCCCAGCTGCGAGGCAGAAATGTGAAAGTGGTGTAAAAGCATCGCTCTTTTTGCCGGGCTGGGGAGAACAGCACAGCAGCGTTATCCGTGGGCAGCCTCTGCCACCTGCTGGCACCAGCCTGTGCTTGGGGGAGATCACCCAAGCAGGGGAAAATGGGCACCTCTGAAATTCACAGCCCTTTTCTAGGAGAAACATCACCTGTTTCGGTCTCATCAAAAACACTGAGGTCATAGAAAGGTTTATGATTAAAAAAATCACCCAGTTCCATCAGAGCAGGCTCCTCCAGGCCACATCCAACCTGGCCTTGGACACTTCCAGGGATCCAGGGGCAGCCACGGCATCTCTGGGTGACCTGTGCCAGGCCCTCAGCACCTGGATAGCAAAGGATTCTCTCCTCAAGCTTCCAAGCCAGGCTTTTCTTGTACAAATTAAATTAAATTAAATTAAGTACCAATATGAGGTTTTAAAGTCTTTCTTTCCCCGGAGAGGTTTGTAAACCCAACCTGCAGAGCTGTGAGCACACCCAAGGGCAGTGCCAGGAGCTGAAAAGGTGAAATAGAAACTGTGACAAACTGAAAGCACCTTTTTATCCATCCTCTTACTCACAGGAGCCTCACCTGTACCTGAACACCAGCAAGGAATTTATAGACAATTAGCAGGGAAAGAATTCAGATGTTCAGCCAGGACTCAAACTTTGTCAGGGAAATTTTGTGGCCACACCTCGAAGTATTTTTAGTTCTGGCCTCGGCTACTCAGATAAAGCTTCTTGAAGCTTCCCAACGCTGCAGGCACTGTTTGAAGAACATTTCCAGGTTCTGTCTGTTTTGCAGTTCACTCTGGTGGTTCAGAGCCCTTTCCTTGTGGCCCAGACCCAACTGAAGGAACTTTATAACAAACAGGTGTTTTTTTGGGCAAATAAACCAGGATTTCCTTTCAATCAGCTCAGAATCCCATCAGTGTTATTTGATGCAACAGAATGTTTTGAAGCCAAGGACTGTTTTCAAACCACCAGCAAAAATATTTGTATTTTTTTTTTCCTCTGCATCTTATTGCAGCTCTTTTGCTTTTCCTTCCCAACATTTATCTTTCACAACACCGAGCCTTGCCTGTACTTCCTGTTTGGCTGCTGGTTGGTACTTTTCTCATTTGCTGTTATTTTTGACTTCCATCCAAGCTTTGTATGATATTAATAGCTGTTGCACAGAACTGTAATCATCCTCAAACCAGCCCTAATATTAGCAGATGTAGCCAAGAGCTGTTGTCAAGGCCTGAGGGATTTAAGCAGTGAATTTTCTCCTCCATCCTGCCAATTTTGCCCCAGCCCAGGCAGCCAAAACATCTGCCCAGCACCCAACTCACACAGCCCCATCCTGGCCACCTCAGGCAAGAGAGAAGCAGCTTGGTCGAGCCCAAATGCACAGAAAGACGCTGAAAGAAGATGCTGATGTGAGAATTCAAGAATTAGATGTTATTGGTTGACTAATTAATGCTTCAGTCTAATCAAGATAGAGCAATCACTCATTGTTCATCCAGCAGCGCTAACACTAATAGCCAAATTACTCATTTTCTTTTAAAGGTTGTCAGCAATAGAAAAAAATAAACACAGAGGATAAAAGCATCTACCCTGCTCCTCCAGCAGTAAATTCTCCTCCTTCCTTTGCGCTGCTGCAGTGACTCATCAGCATCCTGAGGGGGAAATAGTGATAGGTTTTTTCTTCTTTGCTGGCAGGAATATGATTTTAAGGCTGGTGGTTTCTTCCTTCTCAGTTTAGAGTTTACTTGAGGCTACTTTATTTTAATATATTTTTTACTATTCTCTCTACTGGAATCTTTCTTCCCAGGGCTGCAATCCCCCATTACACCCAGACACACCACGTGTACTGCATTTTACCTTTATTTTTTCTGTCATTTCCACTGCTTTCTGTCACCTGCCAAAGCCTCAGTGATGGATTCCTGGTGAGATGATGACACCCCTGGGGCCATCCCGAGCTCTGTCAGCACTTCCTGCTCCTTCAGGAAGGATTTGGGATTTACCCCAGGGACACTGCTGTCCCTCACACCAAACTGTGCAAACACAGTTGCCATCCCCTTTTTCTGGCTGGTTGCTGTGCCAGGCAGACGAGATAAACCCCAACAAAGCCGCCAGGGCAGATCCAGATGAGTCCTGGGGACAAAGTCCTGCAGCCTTTGGCTGCTCACCAATCAAGGTGATGCAGCATTTCCATTCTGATGGACCCTCCATCACCTCACACCAGGTGTAACTTCCTGAAAGCTCTAACACCAAAGTCCTTTCCAGCAGGGAGAAGTCTCCAGGGGGGAGTTCAGACCCTGCTGCTCTGACCACAGGGTTCCCTTCCTTGTCTATCCAATGTTTTATGAAGGGAAGATGGACAGCAAGAAGACACTTTCTTTTTCTGGTTTAAGCTCTTTCAGTTTCATTTCATCCTAGATAAGTGGTTTCATCTGACCCCACCCAGGAGAGAGCTTTCCTATTTAAGGCTCAGTCTGTCTTTAAGGTTACAGACTGTCCTCCCCAGGGTCTGATGCCACATGAAAGAGGTGCAGCCAAGCCATTGTCCCTCGACAGTGACGTGATGTCCGCAGCAGAAATGAGGTGAGTGCACAGCATCCCTCCTTGTCACAGCTCCCACAGTGACAGGCTGTGAGGGGACAAGGCTCAGCTCATCCTGCCTCAGAATCCCACCATGGTTAAGGCTGGACAGGGCCTCTGAAAGTTGTCTTGTCCTCTGACTGCACCCAGACAACTTTGGAGTCTCTCTGAGGGTGGAGACTGCACAACCTGTCCAGGAAAGCTGTGCAAGGCCTCTCTTCTTCTCATGGTTAAGTTTCCTGATGTCCAGATGGAGCTTTCTAGGCTTGGTTGTGCCCTTCTTGCTCACTGGGCGCCACTAAAAAAGCCTTGCACTTCTCTCCACCCTCCCTTCAGTTATTTCCACAGCTCTACAATCCTCCTGAGCCTTCTCTTCTCTTCTCTAGCCTGAACAGTCTCAGCTCTCTCAGCCTTTCCTCATGGAAGAGACACTCCAGTCTAACACCTTCCTTACCTTGCTGGGCTCTTTTTTGAGACATTTCTTCATCCTTCAGCTGAAGGCACAGCCCCTACCAATAGAAGGTGAAGAAGCTTTCAGTGTATGGGTGGGGCTGGCTCTACTCTCCCTTTTTGCAGCCCATCCCAGAGCCTTTGCCTTAGATAAGAGAGCAGCCCTGGCTCCAGGCACTGGTGACTGCTCTCCAATGGGAAGGCTCACTGAAAAATGGGCTGATTGGAACAACAATCTGGAGGTCCTTTAGTAGCCCAAATACAAGGGATGTGTTGAGCAACTGGAGAGAGTCTCCTCCTCCACCTCCCTTCCTCTTTTCCCCCCACTCCGTGTGGGCAGCCCAGGGTCCCACCCTTCCATAACGTAATTCACCATTTCCTCTTTGCAGCAGGGAGCAGCTGAAGGAGAAGCTGGACGCCCTCCAGTGTCACTTCACCTGGGAGCTGGACATTGACTCTCTCAGTCCTCAGCACGTCCTGCAGAAGTTGGATGTCGAGATCAAGCACACGGCCCACCAGAACCAGGTGGCTCTCCTGGGGCTCCAGGCATTCCTGCACCAGCTGGACAACCAGAGCACAGCAGCTCTGCAAAGCCTCCGAGCTGCTGAGGAGCGCAACAGCGAGGAGGAGGAGCCGGCATCCACTGCCGGCTCTTTGGTCATCTACGGGAATTATGCTTGGATTCATTACCTTCAGGGCTCCTATCAGGAGGCTGAAACCTGCCTGCAACGAGCTCAGCAGCTCTGCCCAACCCCCTGGGACGTGCGGCTGCTCCCGCACATCCAGGCACACAAAGGCTGGTCCCTCCTGGTCATCAGAGCCCGCAACGGGCAGCGGGCAAGAGAGTGCTTCGAGGTGGCCTTGATGCTCGAACCAGAGAACAGATCTTTCCGTACTGGGCTTGGAATGGCTCTTTATTCCTCCTGGAATTTCTTCTGGCAACCTGATATGGCAAGCAAAGCCATAGCCCCGTTGGAAGCAATTGTCAACGAGCAGCCAAATAACTACAGAGCCAAAATATATTTGGCCAGGCTACTTGGACAAGGAGATAGGGAAAAATCAATTGGCTTGGCTGAAGAATGTGCAGAGGGAAGCTCTGACCCCGAGGTCCTCAGACTATCGGTTTTTCTCAGGATGTCACAGTCGACAGAGCGAGCGCTCGAGATCGCGCAGCGAGCCGTGCAGCAGAACTCGGGTTACCACCTTCTCTACCAGGCCTTGGCCCAGTGCTACAAACAACAGTGGCTTAAAGCAAACCAGGAGGACAAGAATAATATACTGGATGCAGCCATCAGACACCTCCAGCAAATTGTTGAGGCGCATCCAGACCGTGACCTTACAATTGTCAGGCTGCAGCTGGCGGAGCTCATTGGTGCGAGGGATCCAGCACAGGAAGAAGCGATCTACAAGGAGCTGCAGGAGAAAATCCAGACCCTGAGCCTCAGGTACCGTCAAGCCTTGAATCGTGCCTGGGGAAAGTTCTTCCTCTACCGGGGGAGATCGCTGGGAAAGGCAAGAGCCAAGTTCATGGCTGCTTACAGCATTCCTGTGCAGACAGACCAGAGGAAGGACTGTGGGCGCAGGCTGAGGAGGATGGCTCAGACCTACCAGCGCAACGGTGACCCCGACGCTGCCAACGACATCCACCGCTTCCTCCAAGAGGCCGACCGGCACCTGTACGGGGACCCTGCTGCGCTCAGTTTGGATGATGAGGATGATCCCATCCCAGAGAGAGCAGAGAATGACTTTTCCCAAGGCTAGAAGGGCAAAAGGAACTGTCTGGCTCTGCACAGCAGTGCCATCCCTCACATGGTGATTCTGCTGGCTCCTCACGTCGCCCCATTGCTCAGCCATCAAATCCAGGCCCACCCGTGGGTAGCCAAGTGCCCAAACCTCAGCCACGCTGCTGTGTCCTGCTTCTCCCCCAGGGAATGAAAACAAGAGTGAAGAATTTGGCTTACGGGGTCTGAGCACAATCTTCAGCAGGTGTGGACCCGTGTCTCTCCCTTGGAACTGCCACTGATCAGAACTGAATGCTGATTAGGGCAATGTGAGAAATCAACTCGTTAATTAGAAGAATTCCACCATTAGCAACAAACCAGGAGGTGGATTCCTCCTCGAGATCGGTGAGGAGCCGTGATGAGAGTGAAGTCCTTCAGGACAGGACACAGACAGCCCCTGCTCTGTCCAAATGCATTTAACTCTGCTGATTAAGGAGCCACAGAGGTGATTTTATCTACACTAATCCGCAGAAGCACACGCACGCCTGCCCCTGCCTGGATGTAAACCAGGAGCTTTCTTGTACTGGTTCCCACCAGGAATGACATTTTCATCCCTGTTTCTGGAGCCAAACTGTGGCTTTTAATATTCTTTGATCAATAAATATTTCTCTGTGTAATTTATCCTTGCTGGCGTCTTCTTGCAGCCTGAAGCATCCAGAGCATGGAATGCCAAAGATCTGCCCTCTCCTCACTGTTCTCACTCTCCATCCCCCTCCCAGCCCTTCCCGCTTGGAATTTGTGCCCTTACCTGAAGGCACAGGTGGGCATCCCCCATCCCAATCACCCCAAGCACTGCCAGGGTCACCTCTGTGCCCAGCAGTACCTGAGTGGGGGTGGCCTCCTCGGGTGTCCCTCAGCAGGTGCCACCAACAGTGACCACATTCCTGCTCCAGTGAGGAACAGCCAAGTGTGCCCAAAACCAGAATTTGGGTAAGGAGAACACGCTTTAGTGCCCCTCTCGTGCACACTTGGTGTGTTTGAGAAGCCAGGGCCAGAAACAGCCCCTTGCTCAGTGGCCCCAGCACCAGTGTCCAAACACTTCACCCACCAGACCTCACAATCAAGGGGAAAGAGAAACAGCCCAGGCCACCACACCCACCCTGGGCTATTTCACCTCCCAGCACAAGACTTGGGACCAAACCTGTCACCCTCCTTCGTCCCCTGGACACAGGAGCCACAGCCCAGGGCAGCAAAGTTGGCTGGGATCAGTCCTTGGGGCAGGAGCTCCTCAGAGAGCAGCCCCTCAGCCTCCACTGAGGCCACACATGCCTGGCTGAAAATACACAGCACAAGTTAAAACCATGAGCCAGAGCACACAAAACTGTGGGTTGTGTAAAACATCAGCATTTACTTCACTGCACAGTCAGGACAGTTTTCCAAAGCTCAATAAAAACAGCCACTTGATAAACCCCTGTGTGTTCCACAGGTGTCTTCACACAGGGCAAGGTCCCAGAGCCTGGGAAAGCAGGACTTCCACCCCCACTGAACCACCCTCCCTCCCCTCAGCAGCATGAGCAGCACTAACTCCTTTGGGCTTCCCAGGAACCCCTTTGGCTTTGCATCTACACCCTCCTCTACAGAATTCACCCCTGCAAACACATATATATAAATAGATAATATATAGTAGCAGGAAACGTTCCTTTGGAGAAGCCACAGTCCCTCGGGCAGTTCATTACAGAGAGGCTTTTGCCCACCAGCCCAGTCCAACACTGCCATCCTCAGGACTGCAGCTGCACCACCAGCCAGGTGGGACAGACTGTGCTGATGGAAAACCTGGATTCTGACGAAGTTCAGGCACTGCTGTGTCAACAACATCCTATGGAGTCCTAAAAACCCCAACCAACTGACCCTCATTTTGTGACTGCTCTACTTCACACAGGGAAAAAAACAGATGTTAGTTAAAATGCCAATTCTCTAGAGTTTCTTTAATGATTAACACTGAACAAATCCTGCTCGTTACTGTTTTCACCAATACTACATTCAGCACAGCATTAGATAATAAAAATAAATTGCACTATAAAATCCCATTAAAAGTCTCAGTTAAGCTGAAAGATAAAAGGCAAAACATCATTTAATATAAGCTGCCAGGGGCCACAGAGACAACCTGTGCTTCTTCCACATGTGAGCATTGCTGTGCAAATGCCAGGACAAGACCAACTCCCAGGTCTTCACTTCAGCATAGGAGAGGCAAAGAAGTTCCCCTGATGCCCAAACTGGGGTGTTGACTTGCTTTTGCTCCCAAATCTAATTCAAGAGAAACACAAGAACATCAGTATGAATTCTGATTCCATACTGATATTCTGTAGGTATAACATAGACCAAAGATAACAAGGTAACATCCTCCTGCTGGACACAGAATTTCAATACTCTCCTTCTTGCAGGGAACATTCACCCAAATTTCACCCACCTCCCAAACTAAGTTCCTCTGTGTACCACAGGAGGATGTTTGTTACCCATCAGGCAGCTGCTGCTCCCACAGCACAGATTAAGGGAGGGTTTAGTGAGCAGTAAATGCTGACTGCCCCCAAACATCTGCTCTCCTAGAGCACCCAAACCACCTGCAGTCATTCCAAACGTGGCATGAGAGCACCCATGGGCACTTACTTGGGGGTGGTCTTGCTGAAGGTGGAGCGGACCCTCTGGGACAGGGAGCTGGATGAGGGTGTCTTGGAGAGTTGCTGCTCTGGGGTGGTGAGAGGTCCCAGAATGCTCACTGCCAAAAGAGAGCAGCACAGTGTGGAGACAGCTCAAGTTTTTTCTTTGCCATGCAGGGAACATCAGGCATTCCCTGGCATCTGTCAAAAGCACTAGACAAATCTGGCATTTCCTGGCAGACTTTGCTTTTCCCTCTCCCTCTGTGAAGCTCTGAGAGCCTCCCAGGCTGCTGGGATTGCTGTTTTTAGTAAGGGAGGAAGAGGCAGGATTACCTTGAATCTCAGGTGTCCGTGGAGTGGAGTAGGCATTGGTGTTCTCAATCACATGTGCTGGGTCAATGTTCTCCTGCTCCACCATCATCATCTGGCTCCAGTAGTCCATGGGCAGCAGCAGGAGTCGCTCCACGACCTACAGACACCCCTGTGAGTCACTGATCACAGAACCATGGAATGGTTTGGGTTGGAAGAGAGAAAATCACCAAGGTTTGTCCTACCTTGGGCTGACGCTTCGTGTCCTGCAGGAGGGTCATGGGGTCAGGATCTGGTACCGCGTGGGCAACTATGGTGGGGCCAAAGACTTTGGCCAAATTGGAGATGTCCATTTTGGTGTCTGGGCTCTGAGCCACCCTGCAAGATAAGAAATTCAAAAAGAATGTAGCTTCACCCCTTCACTTGTGACACAAGTCCCCTGTCCCACACACATTTGGCCTCTGAGGGAGCAAAAGTTTGTTCCAGAATTTGTTCATGCTCACAGGCAGTAACCAGACCCAATCAGAAAAAACACCCGTGGGGTACCTTCCCCTTTCAGATCACAGAATGGTTTCTGGGACCTTAAGATCACCTGGTTCCAACCCCATTATCCCTCAGAACGTACCTCTGCAGGTGGACCATGAGGAAAGCCAAGGTGTCCCTATTGGCCTGAGGCAGTTCTCCAATTGCTTGATACATAGCAGCAATGCTGTTGTCCTCATCCAAGATTTCTAGCAGGAAAAAATAATATTTAGACCTAAGAAAGCGCTCCCAGAAGATGCAATATGCCCCTCACAGCCACAGCTACCCTGAAAAATAAGCCAGAAACAGCTCATGCTGTGCTAATAATCTTGTATCCTGCCACCTGCAGCTTCCATGAAAGTCTTGTTTAACCGGAAAGTGAGGAGGGGCTCTTTCAGGCTGCGCAGGAAGTCCTTGAGAAGGCCGCAGATGGCGTGGATATCGTCCACTTTACTGAGCAAAGGAATGTTCTTTCCTCTAAGAAACTTCTCTTTCAGTTCCCTCACAGTCTTCTCACAGCCAGAGACGCGGTAAATGCCTGTCTGTTGGCACAAAGTTTGGCTCAGAGGAGGAGGTCAACTGATTTTCTTCCATCCCCACCTTCTCTCCACACCTCAGTCACTCACTGAGCAGCACAATCCACACCATAAATAGAGGATATTTGGGTTAAAAATTTGTGCTTCCCTACCACCACAACCCATTTCATTAGCACTGTTTCACACTTCATTTTCCTCTTACCTCATGCAGCCCTCGTTGCTCAATCTCATTAACACAGTGCACGATGATGGAAGGGATCATTGGAGGAGTAGAAGGGACAAAATCCATCAAGGTGCCCTAAAAGGCAGAAGGGAAAGTAAAAAAAAAAAAGACTGATTCAGTCACCAAGACATGGAAAATACTCTCTCAGGAATTCACAGCAAGATCTATGGTCTGAAAACAAGAATTGTTGCTCTTCTCAGGACTGATGAAGAAACATCACATCCATCAGCACAACGCTGCATCGCCTGCCCAGAGCTGCCACCTTCCCCACTCAACGCCCTCCTACCATCACACCCCTACACCCCCTCCCTGCTTGTGGAATGATGCATTAGCGAGCTCATTTGCATGTTATTATGCAGCTCTGAGCAACAGGAGCTTTTGCTGGGGAAGGCAGCCTTGGAGCTGAGCGAGTCCCCAAGCCAAGGTGGGCCCAGGGCACAGACCCACCTCGCCAATGCGGACCGGAGTGCCCGTCAGCGTGGGGATGCAGGGCAGAGGGCAGCGCTCCCGGCACTCGGGGTGAGTGACCACCCTGCAGTCTCTGCACTTCAGAGAGATCTTCCCAAACTTGACTCTCTTTCCACATGGAACACATGATTCTGGCTTGATAACCTGGTGATGCAGAGCACACAGATGGGAGAGATTAGTGCAGTGTGGTAACTCAGCAGGAATTAAACTGGGTAACAGTTCCCTGATCCATGCAGGTATTGACCCAAGACATAGCCATAGAATCATGGAATAGCCTGAATTGGAGGAGACCCACAGAGATCATCAGTCCAGCTCCTGCATAGGCACCCCAACAATCCTGCCCTGTGCATCCCTTGGAGCATTGTCCAAACGTTCCTGGAGCTCTGGCAGCCTTGGGGCTGTGCCCATTTCCTGGGGAGACTGGTAAGTGCACGACTGCCCCTCTGGGAGATCCTTTTCCCAATATCCAACCTAAACCTCCCTCGACACAGCTGTTAGCCTCTTATCACACACATTTCAAGATGGAAGGAGATGCTTTTCCAAGCTCCTCCTGCCTGTAGACCCACCGTCTTTGAAACAAAGTCGTGCAGCCTCACTCCCCCGTTGTGCTGCGGGGTGCTGGAGCCATCGGTGTCTGATTTGGACTCCAGCTGCTTACTGCCAATGCTGGACTCGCTGTTCCAGGGCTGCAAAGGACCTGGAAGACACAAGAAAATGAGGCTGACTGCCTGGAATCACCCTCTGCCCCCAGAAGCACAGCTATCATAAACCAGAAGCAGCTCCCAGGTCCTGGAATAACGAACATTTCAGGATAGGCCAGGTAGTTGTGTCAGGACAGGATGGAGATTGCACCTACCGCTCTTCCTCCGGCTCCTCCGAGGGTAAGGCACAGTCTGGATGGTAGAAATGGCTTCAATTGGGCCACCATCATTGGGGACCATCACAGTGGTCTTTGCTACTATGGATTCA